AGATTTTAAATATGGCCGTTGGAGAATTTTAATTTTTTTTTAAAATAGTCATTGGGCCCGTTAGGCCCGCCAGGACCGGCCCAGGCCCGTTTGACGGTCCCGGGCTCGTGGGCTAATAGTACAGGACCGGCCCGTCACGGGCTTCTCAGGACCACCAGGCCCGGCCCACCAGGCCCGTTAGGACTACGGGCCCGGTCCGGTCCGGTTCAGGCCCGGCCCACCAAGCAGCCTTAGTTTCAACCCATCAATTATAGTTTCCAATTTCGAAACTTCCCTATCAACAAGCAAAGAAACGTTCTGATGTTAATTAGGCTAATTTACCTTCTCGTCTCTTTTTAATCTCCGATTTTAGCTTCTTCAATTTTTTCCCTCTCTGGTGTTAATTCATGGCCTATTGAGTAATTAATTATAGGAAAGAGCATAAAAGGTTTAAAACCAGCCATTGATTTGTGAATACCTTAGGAAAGAGCTGAGATTTTTCCATTTTCGAATACTATGAAACTTCCCTTTTCCATCTTCATTTTCTTTGAAGAAGTTGGTTTTGCTCTTGCCAAACACAACGTTTCAATATTACAAGAGTTGGGTTGTTTCTTCCCTTTCCTTTCCTTTTCGTTATTGTTGTTGCTCCGACCTTTTTTTTTCCAGAAGACGTGGGTAATATGGTTAGAGGAGTGTCCTATTCATGCTAATACAAATTTTATGCAATCTATATACTTAATAGACTGTTACTATACAAAAAATATACTAAAATAGACTGTTACTATACAATTTATATACAATAGTCTGTTACTATACAAAATATATACAAAATAGACTGTCACTATACAAAATAGACTGTCACTATACAAAATATATACAAAATAGACTGTCACTATACAAAATAGACTGTCACTATATAAAAATATACTAAATAGACTGTCACTATACAAAATATACTAAATAGACTGCCACTATACAATTTATATACACTAGACTGTCATTATACAAAATATATACAAAATAGACTGTCACTATACAAAATATACTAAATAGACTGCCACTATACAATTTATATACACTAGACTGTCATTATACAAAATATATACAAAATAGACTTTTACTATATAAAATATATACTAAACAGACTGTTACTATACAAAATAGATTGTTACTATACAAAAAACATACAAAATAAACTGTTACTATACAAAATAGAATTTTGGGCTATTAGATATAATATGTTTGGGTCGAAGGGCCATTTCGTGTAAATAAAAAAAAAACATGGGGTATTAAAATTCCGAGGATATGACATAACTCTTTTGTGTCATTCAATTGGGGCTTAAATTTAAATCAGCTAAATAGAATGACATAATGGTTGAAGCTAACTACTTCGTCCAAAGAAAATAACTAAACCAATCAAAAGGACAACTTTTGTAGTTGACAGGAAAATTCTTCTCTAGTGAAACACGATAGGAGAAGTATTCTGATTTTATCATCAAGCATTGCATTCATGCATTAAAGGTAAACTATGTAGGACAAAAGTAATTAAGAGGCAAAGAAATTTTAAAATACGAGGAGAATTTCAAGTGAAAATTATTGGTAATGTCTAACTTGAAAATGTAAATGTTTGCTCAGTAAAATTTAATTGTAGTAGTAACATTACTCCAAAGGCGTATAGAGGCATTTACTGGTCATGTCACCTAGTCATCACCACACGTTTACCATCACTAGTCATCTCCACAACACAACTACCATTAGGGCCGTTAATTTGGATCGGATATCCGAAATCCGAACAGATCCATTCACTTTTAGATTTCGGATTGGATTGGATTTCGGATTGGATTGGATTTCGGATTGTGTTTATTAAAATTTTGGATTTTGGATCGCATTCGGATTGGTATAATTTTAATACGATCCGATTCTATCTGAAATCCGAAATTATCAGGGCATGTATAAATACTAAACTTTAATTTCGGATAGTTAGTACTTCCTTTACATTTTCCTCCAAGTTATTACCTTTACAATTGTTGGATTTAGCTATATTGACACCATAATACTCTTATAATTGCAGAAACATGATTTTTTCTTATTGTATTGTCTCTTTTACAAAGAAAATATACATATGAGTTTGCAACTTTGAGGCATAATAAACCGATCTGAAATCCGAAAATTCGATATTCGGATCAGATGCGGATTGCATTTTCTAGAATCTGAAATCCGACCCGAAATGTGTTAAATCCGATCCGATCCATGCACAACACTAGTCTACCACCATCAACCGCCAACATCGTTGGTCAATAGTCGTCACCTCACACAACACTCAACCACCCTTATCTACCAATGCACAATCACCACGGCTAGCAGGGGCAGATTTAAATTGGGTGAAGCGGTGTCATGTGACACCGCTTCGTCGAAAAAATTAACTAAATATATATGTGTCAAAATGATCTCTGAACATTTGAACGGTCAAATAATATTGAGTGACACCACTGACAAATAGGCAGTCTCAAGCGCATTGGTCAAGACTGTGACCTTAATCCAACAAGGTCGCATGTTCGATCCTTCATTCTGTATAGTTCAATTATTTATTATTTTAGCAAATCAATTTAAAAATGACTGGAGTTGTCACCCCTCTGCAATATACTACCCCAACCTGAAAAGAAACATATGTTGCTAAGTTACGTTCGTCTTTACTTATTTGTGATAAAAAAGGAGCTTTTTTTAGCCTTTTCTCTGAAATATTTTTTCAATTTTTTGTCTTTCTTTTTTGAACATTAAAATGATAATTACATCAATGTATTTAAATTACTTTTTATTTGTACAATATTTCAATGATTTGTTTATATGTTCATTATTTAAATATGATACCGCTCGGGAAGAGTTCTGTGTACGTCACTGACGGCTAACCTTCTCTAGTAACCATGACCATTGCAAGCCACTACCTCACAACTACCGATCCTGATCACCCAGACTGTTAGCTTTTAAAATTGGATTCATCTGTTCATAAAAAAAAAGGATTTTAAAAAAGTCATGTAGTAACATAATGTTTTCTAGAATATTGTGAATGCGATATTAAATTATCAATATTTTAAAATTCAATATTTATTTATTTTATTTATTTATTTTGAATAAAGATAAATAGTGTTAATTCTTTGGTGTTCATATTTAAGAATAATATTTGAAAATTTGATATGTATTAAGATTCAAACATTTTAACCTTGGTAAAAAACAAATGGGAATGAATTAATTTTCCCCTAATTCTACCACAACTAACACAAAAAGTTAGTGCCTATTTATAGAAAATTCAAATATGTTTGTTATAATAACTTTAAAGAACTTTCTGCAATTATCTTTTTTAAGGTTCGAATGTTATTCTATCAAAGACAAATTCTTCTTCTACAAACAATGCATTGACAAATCTAAAAAAAAGGGTACTGCACTACCAGTACATTCCACACATCTTTTTCTTTTGCACAAAATTATTATTATTTTTTTCAAAATCCCTTTTCCAAAAGTTAGGAATCTTTACACAAATAGCCAAAATGAGTTAATTCTTCAAAATGGGAGAAATTAAAAAATAGCTAAATTTACAAATGGTCATTCAAAAATAACCACAGTTTCAAAAGTAATCAAAATTTAGCCACTTTTTATGTAAAAATAAATCTGAACGAAAACACTGTTCAAAAGCAGGAAAATACTATAGCATAATCTACTGGAGTTCCAACGTAAGTATACTGGAACTCCAGCATATTATCATGGAGTTCCAGTATAATATACCGGTCCAGTATAATATGCTGGAAGTTTATACACAACTGCTCCAATCTCCAATATATTATGCTGGAACTTTCCGCGTGTTGGAGTTCCAGCATAATATGCTGGAAGTTTATACACAACTGCTCCAATCTCCAATATATTATGCTGGAACTTTCCGCGTGTTGGAGTTCCAGCATAATATGCTGGAAGTTTATACACAACTGCTCCAATCTCCAATATATTATGCTGGAACTTTCCGCGTGTTGGAGTTCCAGCATAATATGCTGGAAGTTTATACACAACTGCTCCAATCTCCAATATATTATGCTGGAACTTTCCGCGTGTTGGAGTTCCAGCATAATATGCTGGAAGTTCATATACAGGTGCACCGATCTCCAGTATATTATGCTGGACCGGTCCCTATTGCAGCAAAATAATAGCTATTTTTCAATGACTTTGCAAATATTGGTTATTTTTGAATGACCGGTCCGAAAACTGGCTAGCCAGTGCTATTTAACCTTCAAAATATGCCCGGCCCAAAAATGATATAATCCAAAACAAGCCAATTCGACCCGGTTAAACCGTGAGAGAGAATTTTTTTTAGTCTAGACCTTCAAGGTAAACCCCTCTCGTTGCCTCTATTGCAGCGCCACCAACTGAAAGCACCCTTCTCACAGCCGCCCGAAAATCTTCAAGAAAACAAGAATGGCCGAACCTGCTGACAAATTAGAGAAACCCCAAAATGCTGAAAACGAAAAAGAAGCAGCAGTAGTAGATGAAGAATTAGAAGAGGAAGAAGAAGAAGAAGACGAAGAGGGAGAATTATCATGGTCTTCAGACTCAGAAATTGGTGAAGCTTTAGATTATTTGGACACAAAAGATGATTCTGAATCCATAAATGGTGCTTTTAGTCTCCAAACTAGACGCCCAAATGCTCATGGAGGACTTCATTCTCGGCCCAATTCTTCTGCTTTACAACCTCTTTCTAATCGTACCCAGAAATTTTCTAATCATATTAGAGCTTCACCATTAGAGGTAATCTTTTGTTTAAATAAGAAAGTTTTGATCTTTTTTACTATTTGTTTGTTTTTAAAGTTTGAGTCTTTTTTATTTTTGTTTTGAATTCTAATGTACTAATACTGTATTTGAGTTAGACAAAAAAAGTTTGATTTTTTTAGTTTACACTTTTGTTTCATCTGAAATTTTTATGGTATATTGTTGGTGTGTTAAGCTTAAGTGATCAGAGATTCACCTTTAGAGGTAATTTTGAAGCTTAGTTAAACGATAATAAAGCGAATATTTTTTCTGTTTTCTTTGAATTCAAATGTAAGATTGTTGGTGAGTTAAGCTTAATCATATCAGAGCATCATAACTAAAACATAGTCAAACAAAGAAAGCATGTATATCTATCTGTTAGTTTTGTTCAATGAGGCAAAAATTTGGATCCCTTTGTCCCATAAGTTTGAATAAATAAGCAGGTTAAGATACAAAAAGAAGACTTTAAACACATGCAACCAGAATCGCCATTTTATCAACAAATGTTCTTAAATGATAAGCTAATGTCGTAGAACAGATGAAAAATCCAAAATTTCCCAAAATTTTAGACTTTTGTTAGGAGATGTCGGATGCCCCTAGTAAAAGTGGAAGCTTATGGAGTATAGTTTCTTTAAGGAGAGCGTGTCGTGTAAAATGAGACTCATTGATTTTAAGATTATATTAAAGTTTTTTTTATGCATTTGGGGTAATAGATTATATTGATTTTAAGATTATTAGAAAGCTGATAGTCCAAGATGTGCATTGCCAAGTGAGCTGCAACAAGAAGATTGCTGGACAACTGAGCAAGATGAACTATTACCCTTAGGTGATATAACTTGATAATTTGTAATAAGGGAGGTGGAGATTAGATGCTAGGCAGTTTACTAAAGTTGGAGTATGTCCGATTTTAGGGGTTTTTTAGTTTTACTTGTACATATCTTTTCCCTTGGTAAATAAAATCTTTAACTATCAAAAAAAAAGTTTTATTATGCAGTTGGGGCAGTTGAGAAAGCAAAAATATCACATTAAGATATGATCAGGCTTGAGTAATTTTTATATAGCTTCTAGAGTGAATTGACATTTTGCAGGAATGGGAAGGGAGGATCAAAGTTGGTATGTCAAACTCTGTGACTACGGCAATTCGTGGAAGTGTTCGGGATATGGCTATTGGTAAAACTAAAACAACGGAGAAGGCAGACCGTGCCACTGTTGAACAGGTAAGACTGACAACTCTTTTGAAATATCTGAAGGTTAAAGTTCCTTTTTGCTGACTTCTGAAAGGAAAATTGATTAGAATCGACTATTTTTCTGCTGATCCATTAATTTCAGAAGTGATAACTACACAACTGTTAACTTTATCTGAAATTCACTGTTGGGCTATTTGTCCTGTTTCCTCAGCCTACTGATTGGCATTCAAAAGTGAGCTATCATTCTTTGTGAGAGCTTTCAGTATTTTGTGAGCTTATATTTTCCTCATGTTAAGAGGGACCAGACATTCTCGACAAAGTACCGAATCTGTATTGATTTTGTGTATTTTGCTGTCAACATCTTTTATTGATCTTATGATCACCCGTCTTGTAGTTATCTGTCTAAATATTTTTGTCTCAACTGTTGAGTTGCTGAATGCACCTTAAGAAAATAATCACTGAATTCAGCCAGTTCCTCCTGTATACCAGTTGAAGTGATTGATAACTTCCCTTCTGTATACCATCTAAAATTATCTCATCCTCTGGATACTGCCCTTCCTTTTTCCTCTGGAAACTTCAAATGTTGACTCTAAACTTGATTTTTGCCCCACATAAGACTTCCGTAGCCAATAACTTGAGTGTGACTTGTTTTGTGCACTTGTTCTCTCAGGTAGTTTTTGTGTTCGCCATATCACATGCTGATGCAATCAATTGCTATATGCCTATAGATGGGCTTCACAATATTAATTCTTGGAAAGTTCTATCTTTTTTCTCCAGGCAATTGATCCAAGAACAAGAATGGTTTTGTTTAAAATGCTGAACCGCGGTGTCTTTCATGATATCAATGGCTGTATTTCAACTGGGAAAGAGGTAAACGATAACTTTGCTACCTGTTTCTCTTGGGATGTTTATTTGTTTTCTCTCTTTCACTAATAATGCTGCATTTGAACTTTTTATTCTTAACAGGCCAATGTTTATCATGCAACAAAAGCTGATGGTCAGGAACTGGCAATCAAAGTATACAAAACTTCAGTCCTTGTATTCAAGTATGCCCTGTGGCCTTCTCTTTTCTATTTATAACTTTCTGTTAGTCACATGCAATTTAAGGTGAAAAGGTTTGTAGTATGAGAATGATACATATCGTTTAGCTTTTTGATCTTGGCTCACCACTGCACTTGTTCCATGCAACTTCAGGGATAGAGATCGCTATGTACAGGGTGACTATCGCTTCAGATATGGATACTGCAAGCACAATCCTCGGAAAATGGTTAAAACATGGGCTGAGAAAGAAATGAGAAATCTAATGAGGTATGTGAATTCTCAATCCCAAATCTTTGATCTTGTCGTCTTTGCCTTTACAGGCTACTCTCTCTTTCTCCTCCTGCCCTTTTATCTCCTCCTTTTCCATTAATTTTGTCGTTTCTGTTTTTTGGCTTCGTGGTGGAAGCGAAAACCCCCATGAGAACCATACTATAAATAGGAGACACATAAAAGTAGAAGTATTATAGTGTAATTGCCAAGATGTTAAGCAGCTATCTTTGCTTGCTAAAGTAGTTTCATTATATGATTTCTGAGTGCATCCTTTTAGTTGAAAAGAAAAAAAAAGGGAGAGCAATTTCTCCTTGAATTTCGCTCTACGCTTGTCCTTGTTTCTGAACATGTGTTAATTTATCGATATTCGTGCTTTTGTTTGTTCAGGAGAACTGTGTGCTCCTTTTGATCTATTTTGAAGAAGCAATTACATATAATACAGAAATTTTTCATTTCCAGTTGTGGTTAACCTTCTAGTTTATCTCATGCGTGGAAACTGGGTTGTATATCAAAACGTCACTTGAGCTGAGGAACTTATATTTGTTTTGTTATTCATATTCTAAAGTGGTTCTGGAACTGCAGGCTGAGGGCAGCTGGAATCAGGTGTCCAGCTCCACTTCTGTTGAGGCTTCATGTTCTTGTTATGGAATTCATAGGTAATGTCCACAACATGCGCGTCTTGATATTTTTCTTTTGATAAGTACTCTATATGCTTAGTTATATAGAAGATAAAAGAAATAATTACTGTATATGTCTTCAACTCGTCTATGTATTTTTTTATGGGTCACAAAAATGAAAATTCTAACCAAAAAGGCTGAGTGTCTAAGTGTCAACATGTTCGAGAAGGGTCACTTTGTTAAAGGAAGAAAGTGCCTCTTGTAGAATTGCTAATCTTCGGTCTTTGTTTTAGAGACCTGCTACAAATAACCCCAGGGGCTTTTGCCTCTCAGCATCTAATGATCCATCTGGAAGGAATTATGTTGAACCGACTTTTGAGCCAAATTTGACGCCCCAACAAGCTCAAAGAAATAGAGTATTAGGTCTGGGCCCTGGCTGGAATCCATCAGTTAGGAAAAACAAGTTCAAACTGCTGAAACCATAGAATGAGCCATATATATATTCCTTCTGTGTCTCCAAAATGGTCAACTTGAAATCTGTTGTTGTGCCCCAATATAATGCAGAAAGCAGTTTGAGAGAAAAGATACCCTTTTTTTATGTTAAATGAAAATTTTATCATTATCTTGCTTTTATTAAAAAAAAGTTTTCAGTGAAATATTAAATATAAATATATAGGCACGAGGTGATTTAAATGGAGTAACATGGTCAGTAAGGATTCATATAGCCGACTCCAACTTGTTTGAGTTTGAGTAGTAGTTGTTGTTATGAAATATGAAATTATAAGTTTACAACTGTAATTCTGTACTGCAATTTGCTGCCTATCTGTATATATGTGTTGATCAAACAAAATTGCTCCTCGGGAAGTGAACAAACAAAATTGCTCCTTGGGAAGTGAACAACTGCATCACTAGTGACCAACTTTCCTCAGGAATGAAAAAAAAAATGCTTTTGAGTTCTTATGATTATGCTACCAAGAGAACATTACTTCAATTGGTTATTTGTGCTGTTGTGTATACAGTGTATAATCACTAGAAAGTCGTCAAACTAAATAACCAAGTCGTTCACATGTCTTTTCCATAAACATTAAAGCCCTAAACCTTATCCTAACTGCAGGATATTGATATCTTGAGTCACTTATAAGATTAACAAATACAAAGTGTAATAAACTTTTTCTTGGTGTGTGCTTCTGTTTATTCATTATTCTCCGTGGTTCAACGAACGGTAAAATTTTTGTATGATAGGGAAAGGAGGCTGGGCTGCACCTCGACTAAAGGATGCTGCTTTATCTCTTGACAAGTTACGTGAATGTTATGTGGAGGTTTGTTTTCATCTCTTAATATTTATATCATCAACGTCAATATGAAACTTGGGACTCTCCTGGCAACTTCTTTGATCTATTGAGAATAATAATTGACATTTATATAGGCTAAGTCTAAAAGTAATTTGAGCTCCCTAAGACGGATAAATAATGAAATGTGTAACAGAATAAGAATATCCTTTCACTTATTCGATCTTTAGGTGCTCAGGGCCATTCATCATCAAATAGAGGTCTTTGATTGACTTTAATATTTGGTAGGTAGTGCTGCCCAAGTGTCAGTAAGCACATTTATCCTGATTATAAAACTCTAGATTCACTGATTTAGAAACTTTCTGCCACTACAAACAACTGCTTAGTGATGTAAGGTGAACATTTTGACATGAGGCTTTTGGAGTGGACGATTCTACCTGAATTTGATACATTAATTACTTGGTATTTGCCAGATCATTATGGCAATGCGAACTCTATATCAGAAGTGCAAGCTAGTGCATGGTGACTTGAGCGAGTATAATATCCTATATTACGAGGTAAGCCTTTATCCCTATATTTATAGCTATACTTGTAGTTGAAAGCACTAACTTGTAATTGCTCCGCACTTTGCAGGGTCACTTGTATGTTATTGATGTTTCACAATCAGTTGATCTTGATCATCCTCATGCACTTGATTTCCTCCGAGAGGATTGTGTCCATGTTTCTGTGAGTTCTTTTGCCTCATTCTCTTTTCTTTCACTATTTCGCCTTATTTTTAAAAATTTATAGGGAAAGGTTTGGGGGAAGAGGTGTAAAGTTTATATGGCTATTTCATGTTAAAGCTAACTTATAGCTAGGCCAAGCTAAATGCGAATATTAATTAAGCTGGTGGCATGCAGGACTTTTTTAAAAAACATGGTGTGGCCGTGATGACAATTCGGGAGTTGTTTGATTTTATAGTTGATCCTACTATTGATGATGATTCAGTGGATAGCTATTTGGAAAAGGTATGGCTTATACATGCATTGGATTATCAAATGCGTGTCGAATGACAATTCAATTCGTCTACATTCAAATGACTTGAGATCCTTAATATTGCTGTTTCCCCACAATATACTAGGTTCAAGAAAAAATTATGGCTAGAGGTGAGATGACTGCAGAAGAAGAAATCGCTGACTCTGTATTTATTCAGGTATGATATCTAACTAGTCACTACACCTTATTTATGAATCTCGGTTTCAATCGTGGAAAGTTAAGGCAAACTTTCCGATGCTACGCTTAGTCAGATTTGTGCTTGCAATTTTTAGCGAAGTGCCTAAATTGGGATGTTTAAAGAAATAGTGTTGTGTTATCCCCCTTCTAAATAAGATGTCCAGAAATTGGGTCGTTTTAGGGAGCTGTATTCATATCAGTAACAGTATATTCTAAAAACACTCGTCCATGGACTTGGCTTGAATGTTTTGATAAATTGTTAAAGTACCTCAATGGATTTTCTTTAATTTTGAAGATCGCCGTTCCCGTACTATGTTTTAGTCCCGGTAATTCGCTCACTATCGTTTTCTATTGCAGTCATTTATCCCTAAGACTCTTGATCATGTGAAAGACGCTGAAGCAGATGTTCAACGCATTATTAGTGGTGAGGACACAGGAGACATGTACTACAAGACTATTACAGGTCTGAAGCAGGCTCTCTCAGGGACAAACCCTTCGGCAGAAAATCAGCAGCACGAACAAAATGGTGAACGGGGACCAGAGGCTGCAGCTGAAATCGACAAAGAATCTGATGGTGAATTAGAGACCGAGTCAGATGATGACGATGAAAGTGATTCTAGCGAAGGCTTTTCATCCGATGGTGAAAAACAAACAGCTGCTGAAAAGAAAACAGCTAGAAAAGAGAATAAGAAGAAAGTTAAAGAAGAGAAAAGGGAAGCACGAAAACATAAAGTACCAAAAGCTGTGAAAAAGAAGAAGAAAAAGTTGGCCAAGGCCAAGAAGTATAGGTAATCAAATCAGCTGTAATGTAAAAGAAAGTTCTGTTTTTTGAGGTTTAAATTGTGTAGAAAGGATGTTGAAGGTCTTAGGTTTTAGAGGTTAAATTATAGAAAGCAGAGTGAAGGTTGCTGCAATCATGAACAGTTTCCACAGGTAATATTCTGTTGTGGCATAAAGTTGCAATTTCCAACAATTTTGGCCAAATTAGTGTAACTTCTTTTCATTTTAACCAATCAAGACAGATTTTCCCACCCTTTTATGTACCATATTTGTCCAGCCTATACTTCAAGCAAATAGGATTTGATTTGCCATTTTTGTTAAGGATTTAGGCAAGTTGCCTTTATTAATGATTTTTTATTTATGGTAAACCATGAATATGATATCTAAACAGTAATGGTCTCCGACATAAAAAGTTTATTGGTGTGACTAATTTGGGCTCGAGCCAACATGAGACCTCTGTTTAAAAGTAGAGGGATTTTAGTGAAAATAGCACATGTTAGCCAGTTTTCGGACTAGTAATTGAAAAATAGCAAGTGTTTGCAGATTTATTGGAAAATAGCTACTATTTTGCTGCAACACGGAAAGTTCCAGCATAATATACTCGAGATTGGAGCACATGTGTATGAACTTTCAGCATATTATGCTGAAACTTCAACTCACGGAAAGTTCTAGCATAATATACTGGAGATTGGAGCACGTGTGCATGAACTTCCAGTATATAATGCTGGATCAGTATATTATATTGGAATTGCAGTATATTATGCTGGAATATTTTCGGATTTTGAATAGTGTTTTCGTTCAAATTTATCTTTATATGAAAAGTGACTAAATTTTTATTACTTTTGAAATTGTGACTATTTTTCAATTATCGCTTATAAATCTGGCTATTTTTAAATTTCACCCGAGATTTTAACGAAGTAATCACATCCTTTGGAGTTTGGTGGTTTGAGTGGTAACTCAGAAAGTCAGAGATAGTCCAAATGTTAACCATCATGCAGTTAGGCATATTTTGTGATGTATGGTGCCAAACCTAGTTTTAGACGATCTTTTTGAGTAGATTCTTAGTTTTTTTTTTTTTTTTTTTTTTGTTTGTTTTGTTGTTGTTGTTGTTTATGGATTTCTTCATTTTCAAGCTCTAATCAGATTGTGAATTCTTAAGATAAAACCCATAAGTTATAAGTATTGAAGCATTCATCTAAAACAAGACCAATTTAGACAGGGTTGTAAATTCTTCAAGAAAGAACAAACTTTTACTTTAAGCATGCACGAAAAAACTAGTATAAATTACCCTGTATAGTCGCTCTCAACGTAATAGTCGAAAAAATGTATTTTTTGTATGTTATATAGAAGCTTATATACTTTTTCGGCTACCAAATATAAAAAATTTCTGGCGGGGCTAAAAGTGATAATATGCTAATGTAACCACTTAAACTACCATAGTAATCAAGAAGATGGGATCACTTAATAGGCATTTTTCTTGAGGAAGAGAATTCAAGATGAATGTTTTTTTCATTCGCTATTAGCTGACTAGATGCGTACTTGCGTGATCGATCGATGAATGAGGGAATTGCGTAAATAATGAGACCAACCTAACCAAAGTGTCAAGGCTCTTACCTTTTTTGACGGCGAATCTTGATTAACTGTCATTAGGAACTGATTCAGAGAAAGAAGAAACATGGTATGAGATAAGTGGCAGATCAATTACCGATAACGAATTACTTGACTCGATGGAGGGAGAGTCGTCCAACATGTCAGATGATTGTTGAAAGTTTTGCAGGAGTCAAATCAGGATTTTGACAATTGTCCCTTCATAAAATGTGGGACAAAAAGATAGCCACTAACTTTTATGATTGTCCTAGTCTTTTTGTTTATGCTACAACTCAATGTCTTGTGTTATAAATAACAAAGTATATTGATTGCTTGGTTTGACATATGTTCTTCCTGCAATTTTTGAAGTAGAATAGTGCAATATTCTCCTTTTTTTTAACTGCAATTTCGTTATAACAAATGCATCCATCTATAAATTTCCAAACAAGGAAAAGCAAAAACAAAGCCATCTGATGAATTGACGAGTAAATAGATCAGACCCGTACACGACCGTTACTCTGTAGCAATAGTGAATCGAATTGCTCCCGTCAACTCTTGGAGTACCATAGTATGTCGGGAATAAGGAGAGACATATTGAGCGTAATGCTATCAATACAATGTCAAACCAAAAACAACTGAACTAAAGGAACACCTTAGATATTGAAACATTATATTGTAGCTATGAACGATTTGGCACAACATTCATCTGTGGCATAATTAATTAGAGATATCCTATTCCTGTAGCAGCCAGAGCCAAGAATTATACAATGATACATTGCAAAACTGTGCTACAATAAATTTACAATAAAATAAACATTATTATCAAAGCTCTTTACAGGATTTTTATCTGTAAGACTGTAAGTATATATGATTTACATGTCTCATTAACCAAACAAGAGAGACATATTTGGTTATCTTCACTCTGCTGATTTGCTTTTACTAAAGCATGATCTTGACCAGCAACTAGATAATAATCCTTTCTTTTTCCTGCATTGAAGGGCAACAATCATGTCTTAGGCTTAGACCAAAACACAATTTTTAGCTTAAAATAACAGAAGGGGAGACTTGTCGTAACCAGTTACTGTCATGTCCACCAGAAGGTTATAGGTTCGAGCTGTGGAAACAACCTCTTGCAGAAATGCAGGGTAAGGCTGCATGCAATAGATTTTTATGGTCCGGTCCTTTCCTGGACTCCGCGCATAGCGAGAGCTTAGTGCACCGGGTTGCCCTTAATATTCTTTTAAATTCTTTTCAAAACTGCATTCTGCTAACTTTCCAAGGCTCTCAACAATGGTCTTATGAAATCTAATTCATAAGGAAAAAACATTAACATGTACAGAATCTGTTTAAGTAATCACTCTCATTAAATTCTTTTCTATTACTGCATTCTGCAAACTTTACTAGACTTCCAATATTGGACTATCCAAATCTAATTATTAAGTGAAAACATTGGAAAATATTTAATAGCTTTCCATTAAAGAAACAGCTAATTTTATTGAATCCCCAAAAAAAAATAATTCTTTTTTCTGTTCTGTTTGTCCTAATATACAAACACAAGTCTCCAAAATCTCACTAGTCAATGACTAGTTCAATTTTCCTAGAAATCAGGAACACATAAAGTAAAAAATAACCACAAAAAAAGAGGCAGTGCAGTGCACTAAGCTCTCGCTATGCGGGGAGTCCGGGGAAGGGCCGGACCACAAGGGTCTATTATACACAACCTTACCCTGCATTTCTGCCGGAGGTTGTTTCCACGACGAGAAGATAAAAGGATTCATACATTGATCATCAAGAGATAAATTCTAAAGCTAATGTGGATCTTCAAAATGCGGCTGCACCCGTATCGTATCCTTGAAATGCATTACTTTTGGAGAATCCAATACACAACGGTCGGCATTTTTGAAGGATCCGAAAAGCACAGTTCTAAGTACCCTAAATTGTGATCTTATTACTGATATTATACTAAGTTATTCAGCAAAATAAATTTCAAGAATCTTACTAAGTCCAATCTCTTGTTCAAATGCTAAAAAAAAGATCAAGAATTAATTCAATAGAGAAATTCATAAATTGAATATACCTGTATTTACTTTTTCTGCTACCACTGCTGCCACTGCTACCACTTCTGTCAGTACTTTCACTATTACTGCTGCCTGTTCTACTACTATCACTCTCACTTGAACAAGAAAATCTCCTTTTCCACCAATCTTTTTCCACATTTTTTGAAGATTTTACTGACCCTTCTGGCTTAGGTGAAACTTTAGTATTAGTTGTTTTTGGTGAATTCTTCAAATTCTTCTTCTTTGACTCCAAAGAAATTGGAAAAAACATCTTTAGAAAAAGGCTCTGATTTTCAAAACTCTCACTTGTAATCATCTTCCCTTTCTTATTTTTATTACTATTACTCTCTTGCCTTTGTATGCTCTTCACCCTTTGTTGTACAACTTCTTGTTCTGGACTAGTTGTACTAGTAAAATTTTCCTCCACTTTATTTATTAAGCATTCTTCTTGATCAGATTCCAAGACTCTATTTTGCTCAACAAGATCCTTAAGAGACAACTCATAACAAGATTCAGGCATGTTTTTGACCATTTCCATAAGTTCAAATTGGCCTTTAGCTATAGCTAAAGCTCTAGAGCTAGTTGAATTTGACCGATAATTTGTCGAAATTTGATGGCTATTTTTCCATAAGGGTGGTGAAGAAACACCAGATTTATCACCATAATCAACATGGTTTAAACTTTCTTGAACTCTAAATCGGACACTTTCAACTTCATTTCTAGGCAAATTTCTAAGGTTATAACTGTAATCTGAGGTTGTAACAGGATCAAGAATTGGGATATGATCATTGGGTTTTTGGTTTCTTGGATTAAACATGGCTATTAGATGAAGGGAGTATTTTTTGTGGGGAGAGGAAAAGAGGGGAAGAATGAGGAAAAATATGTGGTGCGATGTGTGTATGAAGAAGAGGAAGTAGTGATGGCATTGTCATAAATGTATTTATTTTTTAGGTCTATTACACACTTCCCATTCAAAATAATAGGAAAGTTCCTTTTTAATTGTGCCTTGCCTTTTGTATGTTGTTAGGCATCCTATAGGAAAAGAAAAAATACAAACAATAAATTACCATATTGAATCCATCCTATCCATGTATAAATGTTATTTCTTCCTATTTTTATTATCTGTCTTTTAAGATTACGTGTATCCTTTTAAAAAGACATAAACTGCCTTAATTATAAAAATATTTGTGCAAATTACAAGTTATTTTTTTTTATACTCTCTTCGGTCCACTTTAAGTAATTTTTTGGCCTATTTTTTGTGGTCCATTTTGATTTTTTCAAATATCAAGAAGGAATAAACTTCTTCTTTTCAAAGTTTCCATTGGAGTTAAGAGCTTAGGAGTAGTTTGTTATATTTCTAATGAACAAATTAAGATTAATATAGTCAATTTCATTGTTAATTAATGCTAAAAAGTGAATTCATTAATATATGTAAAAAGAGCCAAAAAAATCATTTAAAGTAATCCGGAGGGAGTAATGTTTTGGTTAATTAATAGTCCACTAATTAATACATTAAGGATAGATTGAGAAAAAAGTATTAATACTTCCTCCATCCCAAAATAAGTGCCACTTTTAGCTTTTTGAAAGTCAATTTTACTAATCTTCGAAGTTAAATTGGACAAAATTAACTTAATATTTTAAAATTAAATTAATAGATACAAAAAAATATGCGAAAAGTACTATAAGTTGTAATTCTTCTTATATCAATATGATAAAAAAAAATCTATTCTCAAATATTAATGAAAGTTCACATAATTTGAGTCTCGAGAAATAAAAAGTGACACATAATTTGAGACAAGAAAGTATGTTAATTATTAATAAATCTAATTTGTCAAAACAATTAATATTTGGGAGCGGAAATAGTAAAGCACTATGCGCCATAAAATATGGAAAGAAAATGGAAAGAGAAAAAAAGAAAGTCAAGAGTTTCTAGATGGGTGAGCGTAGGGGCGTATTGTTTTCCTTATTTTCCCTTATTTTTGTCTCACTCTGGGGCATTGATTTTTAGCATTTGGTCGTTGCATTTTTCTATTGAATCAAAAGACTCTCTTGTCCCTTTTCATACGTACATCTGACAAATAGACAAAATTATTTAGAAGAAAATGAACAAATGAAGGAGTTAAAGAATCAATTCACGACAATTTATGACTTTATTATGGATAAAATTGATTAATAAGAAAAGATAACTTAATAGTTGTCCTATTTTTCATTGCTTTTCTTCTTGATTCTTAAATTCAAAGGACTTTGCAAAAGAAAGAAAAAAAAACGTGTCTTTTATGGTTCTTGCCAAATGAAACCGGGTAGGAAACAAAATAAAGAAAACATATTTTGAACAATTTTTTATATTTTAAGAAAAGGATATATTCCCTTTAGATTATCTAGTACATTGTATTTTTCTTCAACGACTATTTATGTTTCATAAAGTTTAATGTATCAGCGTAAAAAAAAAAATTAATATTTTTTGTTGGTTTGTCTTTTTGCCTTGAAAGAAAAAACACATCGCGCATGTCAAACAAAGTGATAAATAAATATCAACGTTTCTCCTAAATATATATTTAGGAGTAGAGAAGGCTCAAGAAAGGAAAAAACAATTGGCGAGAATTAAATTATGCCCATCTAAAACACAAGGCAACAATATTATTACTTATCACTCAATAATTAGCATTTTGGCAGTTAAAGATATTGAAAATTATTCAAAATAAATAGGAGTAGTTGATTTTGCCACTTTAGCAATTGTAGTTCTTTTGTAGCTATCACTAATTTTATTCTATGCAATAACCGGAAAATAATTCTAGATTGTATTAATAATGCATGAATTGATATTTCTCATCAATATGCTAAAAATCTATATAGACATGGTACTGACAACGAAAGTATAATTAAACAATTAAGATATTGATGACAACTATACATAATATCACAATCAAATAATAATGAAAATATGTCTTGTTACAAATTCTTTTTAACCATTCAGTGTTCAATGTACATGATCCTTTTAATCTGAATTTACGTCAAATAAGCACATTGATGATTAAAAAAATATTACATAACAAAAATTGTCTTCACAACTTACAACACATTAAACATTAATTTTTCATATGCAAAATCAAATTATGACTTTTAGGGTTAGTGGAAAATCAATTGTGACAGTGACAACCTCTATAGACGTTTGTAGCTTCATTAGAAAGGAATTTTTTTTTTCTATAATAAAATTTTATTCATTTCTCATATAAACCCTGGTGTGAAGTCTAAACTCTTAACATGAATTTTGAAATTTTAAAAATTAGTGGTCAAAAGGGATGACTCGTAACTTGCTTGTCTTAATCAAACCCTAAGATTTAACTAACCAAATAGATCACGATACCGTGCTATACCTAGTGTTTTAAAAAGGGTTTTACATATGGCTCAACGAGGCGTAAGTCCTGAGGTACGGGATTTATTTAATTTTTAATATTTTATAAAATAATATAATTACAGTAAATATTTTTAAGTAGTTAAAAGTGCATAATTTTTTTAAAACAACTATAAATAAGTATAAGTATANTATATTTACAAAAAAAATGATTGTTCGTTGCTTTTTAAAGATAGTAGTAAACTGGTGGACAACATAAAAGAATTGGAAAGACTATAAATTAGGGCTTCTAGAAATAAAAAAAGGTCTTGACTTTTAAATTTGATATTTCAATTCCTTTTTAAAACTTTTGAGTAATTACAAGCTCACTTTGAGAATTTGGGTATTATATTAAAGACTTATTCAGCAAATTTTATTTTAATTTAAAGAAGTCTCTTGCCCCCCCCCCTCTCCAACCCCCCCACACACTATCGCTTCGGGAGATTTTTGGTGCGCCTTGTCTAGGGGCTCGCCCCGAAAATGCCTTTTAAAACACTATTATAGTTTGCTTTTATGACAATCCAATAAAGTTTCTCCTGTTAAATTGTTGAAGATTAGTGGCGAACGTTAATAATATAATTAATCTTTAAATATTTCTACATTTATTTCATTGTTTAGAATTTGTGGCGAGCACGGAAACTATTAGCGGAAAGAAATTACCTAGCATGTTATTAGGTTAGAGGTGTAGCCAAAATTTAAAGTTTATATATTCGAAATTCTAATTTTTTTAAATTATTGAGTTTTAAATTAATAATTAATATATTTTTAATTAAATTTCTTAAAATAAATATAATGTTTGAATCAAAACTATTAAGTTACGATTAGGCCAAAATGAAGATACAAGTCATAAAAAATGGTGAAAAAATAGCGATTTCAACTGGTGGATTCTCTCTTCACTATAAAATTAAGAGCACGTGTTGCTGAAAAAATAGCGATATCTTTGAAAAACTGTCTTTGTTTATGTCATCATGAGTAAATATTATCTTTCCAACGAAAAATAAAATATTGCTGCAACTGTTAAAATGGAAAATAAAATAATATAATGGAGAGCCTTCTAAAAATTATTTTTCTTTTTGGCGGTGAGGGAGGAGGGTCATTGATTTGCAATTTAGCCCACTAATTATTTGAGGAGCGGCAAATCTACCCAACTAAATATAAAAGTAATTTAATGAGGATAACTGGAGTATTCAACAATTAAATAAATCTTACAGCTCCATTAGTTTTCTTTCAAATGGATTTAAAAGTGAATTTAGTTTATACTGATAAAATTAACCGCAGACAATGTTTACACCAATTAATGCTAATTTACACAAATCAAATTATAAATTAATATTAGAATATGTATACTTGAAGGGTAAAAGTAGCAAGTTACTCCATCATAAATTAAGACATGCTTGAAATTATATACTAATGGCCCTTTGATTAAGACTTTAAAAGTATTCATCTATAGCAATTCTTTCCATTTTTCTCCAACCTAAGTACCTAACAATAGGGGTGTACATGGACCGGATTAATTCAGTTTTTATTAAAACCAAATCAAATCAACTATATCGGTTTGGATTGGTTCAATTTTGTCAGATTTTTTGGGTTTTTCGGATTTTTTTGTTACATAAATAATATGTCAATCTTACTTTGTTAAATTTTTGATTAGTAAATATATGTTTAATAAATATTTAAAAAATTGACAAACATATGACAATAATTTTTTTAGTTGTCTAACAATAACTTTTTGTTGATGTACACTTTTAAGGTTAACCGAATTTAATAATTAAATATAAAAATCAATATGATACCTAAATATTGATATGTACTATTTAATTTTCAATTATTGAAATACCACTTCAAATTCGAAAAAATATATAAGAATTTATTAGATCTTGACATATGAATATGAACGAACAAAGAGATTGGCGCATTTTAATAATACTCGATAAGAAATTGATCATACAATATATTATTTAAAGTTAATAAAAATAGAGCACTTCATATTCTATTAAATATTACATCTCATAAGAGAACCCAAATATTTCTAGATATTTTTAAAGAAAGTTCTATATAAAGTCTTAAAAGTATATATTTATATGTCGGTTTAGTTCGGATTTTTTTAAAATCAATACCAAACCAAATCAAACCAAACCTCATCGGATTTTTAGTCGATTTGTTTTGACTTTTCGGTTTAGTGCGATTTTCCAGTTCGGTTTGTACACCCCTACCTAACAACAAAGGGAGTGGAGGGTGGAGTTTGTGTTATGCTCTCCTTTTCTTTCTATGGCAATGGTTTTTACAAATATTATGTAAAAATTACTTGTAAGATTATCGAATAAACAAAAATAATAACAAAAGAAGAAATATATAAAGGGTTAAGAAGCCGATAACAACCAGTACAATTTCTTCTTTTTCTATTTTCCCCCCTTTTGGTTAGCAGCTATAATTGGGAGGTGGGAATGATGATGTGATAATTTCATGATTTCCAGTATCACTAAAAGAAACTACTTTACTTTTAGCAGAAAGTGTTTGAAAGGTTTAATACTCATAA